TTACTATCCTATGGGAATCATTGTTTGTATAAATCTGGAGAGCAGAAAGGATTGCTGGCTGGCTTTGAGAGAAAAGAGACTAGATATGGGTGATTTATCTTTCATCGCACTCAAAATGTAAGCCAAGCTCAACACATCAACCACGCAGTGGATCCAAGCTCAAACCTAGCATAGGTTGTGAATCTTCACCACAAATACAGGAAAACGCCAGGAAAGTTGAATAATGGGTAGCAAGTCAGTGCAAGCATGCTACTTTTCATGCCAAATCAGAGCCGTAGTTATACTATTGGAGGAGTGCTGAAAACTCCAACGTTAAGCCCTGGCTCTATGTAGGGGATTACGAAGCAGACAACTTGGCTGGTACCTTTGGTCCATTAGATCTTGTTTGGATTGGGTCAGCTCGCGTTGGTGACTTGTGTGCAGTCGAATTGAGGGCATTGTTGGAGATATGGGTAAATCTAACATCAAGTTAGACATACGGTATTGCTTTGCTTCGATACAAGTTACGGAAAGTCACCGTATGTCTAAGTGGCCCAGAGAAAGTCCTCGCAGGCCACGAAGGATGCCGGAAAGATTGCTGGGTTGGATGTGCTGCGTATCGTGAACGAGCCAACCGCTGCATCTTTGGCATATGGTCTGGAGAAGAAGAACAACGAGACCATTTTGGTGTTTGACTTGGGAGGTGGCACCTTTGACGTCTCCGTTTTGGAGGTTGGTGATGGTGTGTGCGAAGTGTTGGCCACACACGGTGACACTCACCTGGGTGGTGATGACTTCGACAAGGTCATTGTCGACTGGCTGGCTGAGGACTTTCAGAAGACTGAGGCAAGGAAGTTGTCACGGTGCCATGTGTTTTAAATTGAGGACAAGCAAAAATGGTTTGTGGAAGGTTCATCGAAGTCGCAGGGTTTCACAAGGTTCTGTTCCAAACCAAGGTCGGAACGGGTTTCGTATTATAGAGCCTGTGGCCATTTTTCTGTGGCTCAATTGCACAAATTCTGTCCGAAGTTTGTTACCCTGAGGGCATCGACCTCCTGAAGGACCGGCAAGCACTGCAGCGTTTGACGGAGGCAGCTGAGAAGGCTAAGATGGAGCTTTCAGGCGTGCAAGAGGCCGGGACGACTCATGATTCACATGTTGCCACATGTACTTTGGAACAATGATGTCTGAGACTGTAAGAAAAGACTGTAAGGAAACTAAGAGAAAACTGAGAAAACCAATCTGTTCAATTGAGAGAGTGTAGATTGTGTAGATGGAATCCGATCGGATTTGAAGGCCAAGATCTCTTTGCCTTTCATCACGGCTGATGCCTCTGGTCCCAAGCACATTGAAGAGAGCTTGTCCCGAGCAAAGTTTGAGCAGCTTGCAAGCAAGCTCATCACTCGATGCAGGCCTGTTTGGGACCAGGTTTTTTTGTGTTGAACCGAGAATGATTGAATGATAAGAACAATGATGAAAGTGGGACTGCTCGGATACAGAACGAGGTTTAAGACTTTGCACATGATGCTTGTCCTTGTTTCTTGTGGAGATATGATTTGCATGGTGATTTTGCAGAGGGGAAGTTGCACGCAGGACGCCAGTGGAGAGCGCTATGAAGGATGCAAAGCTTGGTCCGAGCGACATCGATGAAATCGTCTTGGTCGGTGGCTCCACACGCATCCCAGCAATCCAGGATTTGGCTTCAGAGTTGGTTGGCGGGAAGAAACCCAATCAGAGCGTGAACCCTGATGAGGTTGTGGCAGTCGGTGCTGCCGTCCAGGCTGGTGTGCTGGCAGGAGATGTGAAGGACATTGTGCTGCTGGACGTGACGCCTCTTTCTTTGGGTGTCGAGACTCTTGGTGGTGTGGCCACCGTGTTGATCCCCAGGAACACCACCATCCCAACCAAGAAGACGGAGGCCGCACGGATACCAAACAACGTGTAATCGAAGGAAGTTTAGAAGTCAAACTTCCGACAATTGGACAGATGAAAAGCAGAGCAGGGAAGAGGCAGAGAGAAGAGAAAGATTAGAAGAAAGAAGAGTAGAAGAGAAAGAGTAAGAAGAAAGACGATGCAGATGCGTGAAAAGGTAGGAAAGTCGCGAAACACTGTGTTTTTCCAATGATTTGTGGCTCTGGAGGGTCGAAAAGTAGGCTCGCCAAAGCGGCGGGTGCGGAGCCAGCTGGCGAGAGGAGAGATGAAAAATTGCACGCCGTTGTGGCGCGAAGCACATTTCCAAGTCAAAATGTACAAAACACACTAGCTCCGGACCACTTTTGGCAGTTGAGATGTCGAAAAAGTGCACGCCGTTGTGGCGCGAAGCACATTTTCAAGTCAAAATGTACAAAGCACACTAGCTCCGGACCACTTTTGGCAGTTGAGATGTCGAAAAAGTGCACGCCGTTGTGGCGCGAAGCACATTTCGAAGTCAAAATGTACAAAGCACCTCAGTGTCGGACGGCTTTTGGAAGTTGAGATGTGGAAAAAGTGCACGCCGTCGTGGCGCGAAGCACATTTGGAAGTCAAAACATTAAAAACACTAGGGGTTCGGACGACTTTTGGAAGTTCAGATCTCGAAAAAGTGCACGCCGTTGTGGCGCGAAGCACATTTTGAAGTCAAAATGTTAAAAGCACTAGGGGTTCGGACCACTTTTGGAGGCTCAGATGTCGCTTCGCTTCGCTTCGGGTCACTACACTACACTATACACTCCACTACACTACACTACAGTACATTACACAATACTACACGCCACAACACTACAACTACAACTACAGAACTACACAACTACACTCCACTACACTCCACTACGCTCCACTACACTACACCACATTACACTACACTCCACTACACTACACTACATTACACTACACGACACTACCTTCCACTACACTTCACTACATTACACCCCACTACACTCCACTACACTACAACTACAACTACGACTACGCAACTACACTCCACTACACTCCATTACACTAAATTGCACTACACGACACAACAGCGCACTACACTACACTACACTACATTCCACTACACTCCACTACACTACATTACACTGAATGGCACTGCACCACAGATAGACAGATAGATAGATAGATAGATAAGATTAGATTAGATTAGATAAGATAGATAGATAGATAGATAGATAGATAGATAGAGAGACAGATAGACAGATAGACAGCTAGACTGAAAGAGAAATAGATAGATAGATAGATAGATAGATAGATAGATAGATAGATAGATAGATAGATAGGGTAATTAGATCAAAGAGAGAGAGAGAGATAGATAGATAGATAGATAGATAGATACATAGAAAATAGATAGGTAGGTAGGTAGATAGTCAGAGAAAGAGAGAGAAAGAGTGAGAGAGATCAAGCACCTTTCAGTCCATCAGTGGCTTCGCTCTGCCATCCCTGATTCACAACAACCAACCTCTCCTATAGGTTTCCTATTTTTGAAACTTCCGCCACCGCCTTGTGCGGTTTACTGGTATCATCACATACCGGTGGAGAAAGAAAAAATAAGATGGTGGGTCAGTATTCCTGTTGACAAGCAAAGGGTTGCACAGGCACTTATTCATCTTACTTTCTTGAGGTCACCTGTAGTCGACCATTTCTTTTGCACTTGTCCATCTCTAGTTTGGGCCTTTGTCAGGTCTTCTCCACTGCCACCGACTCTCAGCCATCCGTCGAGATTGTGGTGCTGCAGGGCGAGCGACAGTTCGCCAAGGACAACAAGATCCTTGGCACTTTCCGTCTGGATGGCGTGCCTCCTGCTCCTCGTGGTGTTCCCCAGATCGAAGTGACCTTCGATATCGATGCCAATGGTATCTTGAACGTTGCTGCAAAGGACCGTGGTACCGGCAAGGAGCAAACCATCACCATCGCTGGTTCCTCCACCCTGGACAAGACAGATGTCGAGAAGATGGTTCAAGATGCCGAGGCCAACGCTGCAGAGGATGAGAAGCGCAAGGAGGCAGTTGAGACTAAGAACAATGCAGAGAGCCTGGTGTACCAGACTGAGAAGCAACTGCAGGAACTGGGTGAAAAAGTGCCTGCTGACCTCAAGGCCAGCATTGACCCCAAGTTGCAGGCCTTGAAGGACAAGGTTGGGGAGGCCGAGCCAGACACTGAACTGCTGAAGACCATGACAAAAGACCTGCAAGAGGAGCTGATGAAGGTTGGCCAGGCCGCCTATGCCAACACTGGAAGCCCTCCTCCAGGTGATGCAGCTGAGGCAGGATCTCCACCCCCTGGCGATGCCAAGGCGGAGGCCAAGGCCAAGGACGACGTCATCGACGTGGATGGACAGTGAGGCAGCAATGTCTGATTTCTTGGAGTATGCATGGGCTCATGAATTCATAGCTAAACATTGACCAGAATCATCAGAAAACCTTGTTGGGTTTTGTGAAAAAGATGTTTCATGCATTACTCCAATCTGAGCATTGAAGAAAAAAACATCAAACAGCTTGGGACAGACACTCGCAGAATTGACTTCTGGTGGCATTGCTAACATATGCACACACACACACAGCACAACGGCAGTCCCGAGCTGCAATGTTGGGTACAGATCATCGTGAGCGCGAATGTGCAACACGATACAGTGCAATCTTTGAACATTTTCCTGCAGAGCGTGAGAGATTTATATGTGGCTGAGCAGCCGAACATACCATTTTCGCCGCTTCAAAACACTAGATGCAGCTGCCTTTTTTGACTTGGAGCCGTGCGTCCCATGTGTACCTGGAAGTCATGATCTCCTCCTTGGCACTATGATTTTTTCATGTACCATATTTGCCATGTACCTGCTGGCAACTTTGGTTCCAGAGACCTGCATTAGGGCAATTTTGTTAGCTGAAGCATCGAAGCAGGCCGATGCCTCGAATGCCGTTGCAAGCTGTGCTGAAAATAGTCGTTTGAACCAGGAAGATTCAGATTTTTGAACAGATGGGAAAAAGATTCAAGAGACCAATAGGCTTTGAATCTCAAGAGCTCTTGGGAATCCCTGAAACTTCAGGTCTGCGATGGTGTCCAAGAAGGCTCGTGCCGCCGCGGCTTGCGCTGGCTTGGGAGGGCCCCAGCCTTAGTTGAGACGAGTTGGGTCCTGAAACTGCGTGGTGTTCTTTCAACCGTCGCCTGATGGGAGGTTGGCTTTTGTGGCAACGCCAGGAGAGAGGGATGTGTTTTTGTGTTTGTGGAACAGACTAGCTGCTACACAATCTTAGTTTATAGGAAAGCTCAGAAATCCAATGGTAGCTTTTCCTCCCTCGCCATCCATCATACCTACTGTGACCAGACTTGTGCACAGTATTGGACAGTGAGGAATTGCAACACACGAAACAAAGAAACATGGAGAGGATCAGTTGCTCGCCATGTGCCAGCTGTTGAGATGGCAGCCGGCAAGGCTTGCGTGATCTTGCATGGCTGTTGCCACATTGTTGGATATTGTTTGCGTAGTGTTTGGAATTTGCGGTTCTCATTTCAACCACATGGTACCTTCAACATCCTTCAACAGATCATGTCCCTCTATGACCCATGGGGAGCTGGAAGGCTGCCGCTGCAGAGACCAGCGAGGGTCTTAGAGTCAGATGTGAGACCACGTCATGAATTCTCGCTAATTCTCGATTGTTGTTGCTTGACGCGCTTCAGAGATGGCCACACAATTGGTTCCTAGATGGCAGTTTCCCAGCCTGCAGTGAATACGGCAAAAGTTTGAAAGGAGTGCGAAAGAATCGGTGTGCTCAGGCAACAGTGCTTTCACTGTTGGTGCTGCTGCCATGACAGCTGCTGGCGCAGTGGCTGCTTCGACCCGAAGAAAGGGGCGAACATCCAAAGCCGGGACCTTTTCAGGGAGGGGCATTACAAAGGTCCGGACACACCGGATCGATAAGCTGTCACAGGTTTGTGACTGTAGAAATTCAGGTCACTGCCCGTGCTGAAGTGGCCCCTGGTGAGAAGGTGGTTGGCATTGACCTTGGCACCACCAACTCTGCTGTGGCTGCCATGGAGGTTCTGGAGTCTACCCGACATGTGTGGACATTTGTGGACGTGTGTGCGTAGGTGTGGCGTATTATATAAATCTTGTTTTTGTCCGTTTTTTGGGTTTAGATGTTAGTGAATTGAGCTTGACAACGGATCATTTGATTCACATCTGTTTTCACAGCTGCACTTACAGTGACAAGAGAGACGTGTTGTTTTTGTTGGTGCGGAGAATGTTGAGCAGCCTCGCTGATTTTGTAGCTGGTGGTCTGGAACTCTTGCAGTTTTCAGGCTGGTTCTCCAACCGTGATCCCGAACGCAGAGGGAGCACGAACCACACCCAGCGTTGTGGCCTACTCCAAGAGTGGCGAGCTTTTGGTGGGCCAGATTGCGAAGCGTCAGGACAGTATTGTCAGCATGTTATTCACGATCTGAGCAAAGAATTAGCTTTCAGCCAGACACTGTTTGAAATTTTGCAGTTTTCATTTTTTTCATTTTCTCTGACAGTGGCAGCTAGAGTTTTTCTTGCAGGCGGTGGTGAATCCAGAGAACACCTTCTACTCAGTGAAGCGCTTTGTTGGCCGCCAACCCAATGAAGTGGAGGAAGAGCTGAAGGAGGTGTCATACAAGGTGGATTTCGAGGGCCAAAAAGTGAAGATTGACTGCCCCGTGATGAGCAAGAAGTTTGCACCGGAGGAGGTCTCTGCACAGGTGCTGCGAAAGCTGAGCGCAGACGCCGGCAAGTACCTCAGCGCCACGGTCCAGAAGGCCGGTGCTTTGAGTGTCATTTGAGTGTATTTGACAAATATGCTCGTAGCTATTTGCGAGGATTGAAGCGGTTGGAAGGGGATCACCTTTTCTCAGAGAAAGGTCATTTTGTATTCCCTTCCGAAGCACCTGCGACGTGTTTTCTGCGTTATTACTAACCTGTTGCCTCAGCGTTTGGCCATTGGGCAGATCCTTTTCTGTCACTGATGGAATGTGTTTGCATGACTTACAACCTGTGCATGAAGCGGCCCCTGCTCGCTTTCGTCATGATCAACGAAGGCTGTAGTGACTGTCCCAGCCTACTTCAATGACTCCCAGCGTCAGGCTGGATTGTAAAGTACACTTTGGGACATGGTGAGAAAGAAGACTAAGACGGGCATACTATCAAGAGCAAACTACCTTTTGCAGCCCAACATGTCCAAGCATGAAATGAGTGGTCCGGATCCACCGACAGCTCCTGTTTTGCATCTCCAGCAAGGTTTAGTAGAGACAATCCACTCTTGAAGCCAAGTACTCAACTTCTTAAATTGCATCACTGCCAAGCTCTGGAATGCATTGCTGGTTCAGGCCACGAAGGATGCCGGAAAGATTGCTGGGTTGGATGTGCTGCGTATCGTGAACGAGCCAACCGCTGCATCTTTGGCATATGGTCTGGAGAAGAAGAACAACGAGACCATTTTGGTGTTTGACTTGGGAGGTGGCACCTTTGACGTCTCCGTTTTGGAGGTTGGTGACGGTGTGTGCGAAGTGTTGGCCACGCACGGTGACACTCACCTGGGTGGTGATGACTTCGACAAGGTCATTGTCGACTGGCTGGCTGAGGACTTTCAGAAGACTGAGGCAAGGAAGTTGTCACGGTGCCATGTGTTTTAAATTGAGGACAAGCAAAAAAGGTTTGTGGAAGGTTCACCGAAGTCGCAGGGTTTCACAAGGTTTCTGTTCCAAACCAAGGTCGGAACGGGTTTCGTGTTACAGAGAGGAGCCTGTGGCCATTTTTCTGTGGCTCAATTGCGCAAATTCTGTCCGAAGTTTGTTACCCTGAGGGCATCGACCTCCTGAAGGACCGGCAAGCACTGCAGCGTTTGACGGAGGCAGCTGAGAAGGCTAAGATGGAGCTTTCAGGCGTGCAAGAGGCCGGGACGACTCATGATTCACATGTTGCCACATGTACTTTGGAACAATGATGTCTGAGACTGTAAGAAAAGACTGTAAGGAAACTAAGAGAAAACTGAGAAAACCAGTCTGTTCAATTGAGAGAGTGTAGATTGTGTAGATGGAATCCGATCGGATTTGAAGGCCAAGATCTCTTTGCCTTTCATCACGGCTGATGCCTCTGGTCCCAAGCACATCGAAGAGAGCTTATCCCGCGCAAAGTTTGAGCAGCTTGCAAGCAAGCTCATCACTCGATGCAGGCCTGTTTGGGACCAGTTTTTTGTTGTGTTGAAACGAGAATGATTGAATGATAAGAAAAGTGATGAAAGTGGGACTGCTCGGATGCAGAACGAGGTTTAAGACTTTGCACATGATCCTTCTCCTTGTTTCTTGTGGATATGAGAAATGAATAAGGAAGACAATGATTTGCATGGTGATGACGGAAAGCACTGGAACAGCGCAAGGAGTGCATGTAGCTTTGCCCTAGGGGCGGTCATGGAGCGTGTGCAAACCCAATTTTTGATTTGCAGAAAATCTGGGTGCAGTTTTGGCTCCGTCGGCCTCATTTTTGCCCATGTGGTGCGCTTCTGGGATTTTGGGCCAGCGTTGGCACCATATTGGGATCATGTTTAAGCCATCTTGGGCTATTTTATGCTATTTTGGGATCTGTGTCGGCCTTTGTCTTGGATTTGGGCATTTCAGTGTCGTTGAATTTTCGTCCATGCAAGGCGTTTGCAAAAAACACCATAAATACGAAGGAAAAAACACAATTTTTAGGCTGCGTTGCTGATCGTTTTTGCTGCTATTTTTTGGTTGTTTTTGTTTCTTTCTTTTGTGGCATGCTGCACTTAAGCTATGCTTGCCTGAGCTCACGCTTATGTTGGGCCATTGGGGGCTATGTCGGCACCATATTGAGCCATGTTGGTGTATTTTGTGGTTTGTGTTGGCCTTTGTTGGGCAAGAGTTGGACCATATTGGGGCTTATCTTGGGCCATTTTGGGCTATGTTGGGACATGTTGGGCCACGTTGGCACCATATTTGGCTCATGTTGAGCCATTTTAGTGGTATTTTGTGGCTTGTGTTGGCCTTTGTTGGGCAAGAGTAAAAGTTGGGACCATATTGGGCTTATCTTGGCCCATTTTGGGCTATGTTGGGACATTTTGAGCCACATTGGCACCATATTGGGCTCATGTTGAGCCATGGGATCTGTGTCAGCCTTTGTCTTGGATTTGGGCATTTCAATGTCGTTGAATTTTCGTCCATGCAGGGCGTTTGCAAAAAACACCATAAATAGGAAGGAAACAGCACAATTTTTGGGCTGCATTGCTGATGGATTTTGCTGCTTTTTTTTTTTGGTTGTTTTTGTTTCTTTCTTTTGGGGCATGCTGCACTTAGGCTATGCTTGCCTGAGCTCGGGCTTATGTTGGGCCATTGGGGGCTATGTCGGCACCATATTGGGCTCATGTTGAGCCATTTTGGTGTATTTTGTGGTTTGTGTTGGCCTTTGTTGGGCCATATTGGCTTATCTTGGGCCATTTCAGTGTCGTTGAATTTTCGTCCATGCAACGCGTTCGCAAAAAAATAGTATAAATACCAAGAAACCAATAATTTTGGGCTGCGTTGCTGATGGTTTTTGCTGCGATTTTTTGGTTGTTTGTGTTTCTTTCTTTTGGGGCATGCTACACTTAGGTTATGCTTGCCTAATCTCAAGCTCATGGGGGGGCATGGGGCATGTGCAAACCCAATTTTTGATAACGGAAAGTGCTGGAACAGGGCAGGGAGTTGATGTAGCTTTGCCCTTGTGTGGGGGGGAGGGCATGGAGCGTATGCAAATCCAATTTCGACAACATTAGGACCATATTTTGCTGAACTGGTTTGCAGAACATGTGGGCGCAGTTTGCCTCTGTCAGCCTCGCTGGCTTTATCTCAAGCTCATGTTGAGAAAAAATCGAGCAATGTTGGGTTGTTGTTGCGTCCTTTTCAGCCCATGTTGGGCCAATGTGGAGCCACCTTGGTCTATGTTGGGATCGTGTTGGCTATGTGGACGCATGTTGCACTAATATAGAGCCATGTTGGCCCATGTTGGGCAGATGTTGAGTCATGTGGGATATGTTGGGGGCCAACGTTGGGGCCATATTTGATATTGGGCTTATCTTGAGCCATTTTGGGCTAATATTGGGCTGATGTTGAGCCATTTTGGGCGATGTGTTGGCCTTTGTCTTGGACTTGGGCATTTCGGTGTCGTTGAATTTTGCGTCCATGCAAGGCGTTTGCAAAACACAGAGAAAAACAGCATTTTTTGGCTGTGTTGCTGATGTTTTTGATGCTATGTCGAACTATGTTTGCGAGGTATTTTTCTGGTGTTGCGGTGGCATTTGAATGGTACTTTTGGTGTATGAGTGGTCTCTTGCTGGTGGGTGTCTTGGTGGTCGTGGCATGGCATGTTGTGAGCTCTCATAATATGGGTCGATAATTTCAATGGTGTGTTGCATTTGTGCGCACAGACACAACACACATCAATACCAAATATCAAACAATCCTGCACACTTTTGGCCCATGGCATCTCCAGCGCTTTTCCTGTCCTGACCGGCGGAGCCTAGATACGGAAAAGGCGGCTTGCGTCGCGTGTGATAAAGTCAACAAGTGCAAAATCTGAGCCAAACAAATGAAAGACAGCCAAAACAATTTTGCATTTTCCGGGGAAAGCGTGATTTTTCCTGCGCGCTTTTTATTTGACTGAACGGTTGAAGATTTTATGCGAATTCTTCCGCATCTTCTGGCAGCCGGCAAGCCAAAGTGCAAGCTACACCTTTATAAAGGGATGACACAGTTATAGGGCATGCTCGGCATGCTCCATCTCTTCTTTGATTTTTTTTTGTCTTGGCAGCTCATGTTGAGGCATTTTGGGCTATGTGTTGGCCTTTCTCTTGGACTTGGGCATTTCAGTGTTGTTGAGTTTTGGTCCATGCAAGGCGTTTCTGATGCTCTGTTGGGGCATGCTGCACTTAGGCTATGTTGGCCTTACCTGAGGCTCACGTTGAGCAATATTCAAGCCATGTTGGGTTGTTGCTGCGTCCCTTTGAGCCCATGCTGTGCCGATGTAGAGCCGACATGTCTGGGCACTGCCTTTGTGGTCTGTCACGTTTGTCATGCTGTTGTGCAGTGTGGGTTTGTGCGTCTTGGTGGCGTTTGGGCATGCGTGTGGAATGTTGTGTTTGCGAGGTATTTTTCTGGTGTTGCGATGGTATTTGAATGGTACTTTTGGTGTATGGGTGGTCTCTTGCTGGTGGGTGTCTTGGTGGTCGTGGCATGGCTTGTTGTGAGCTCCCATAATATGGGTCAATAATTCAATGGTGTGTTGCATTTGTGCGCACAGACACAACACACATCAATACACAATATCAAACAATCCTGCACACTTTTGGCCCATGACATCTCCAGCGCTTTTCCTGTCCTGACCGGCGGAGCCTAGATAAGGAAAAGGCGGCTTGCGTCGCGTGTGATAAAGTCAACAAGTGCAAAATCTCATCCAAAAAAAGAAAGACAGCCAAAACAATTTTGCATTTTCCAGGGAAAGCGTGATTTTTCCTGCGCGTTTTTTATTTGACTGAATGGTTGAAGATTTTATGCGAATTCTTCCGCATCTTCTGGCAGCCGGCAAGCCAAAGTGCAAGCTACACCTTTATAAAGGGATGACACAGTTATAGGGCATGCTCGGCATGCTCCATCTCTTCTTTGATTTTTTTTTGTCTTGGCAGCTCATGTTGAGGCATTTTGGGCTATGTGTTGGCCTTTCTCTTGGACTTGGGCATTTCAGTGTTGTTGAGTTTTGGTCCATGCAAGGCGTTTCTGATGCTCTGTTGGGGCATGCTGCACTTAGGCTATGTTGGCCTTACCTGAGGCTCACGTTGAGCAATATTCAAGCCATGTTGGGTTGTTGCTGCGTCCCTTTGAGCCCATGCTGTGCCGATGTATGGTCACCGACAGAATTTTGGAAATGCAAAAAGGTTTGCGCGCCGCAGGTATCGGAAAAGGTTCGGGACCGAAACCAAGACAAAGGATTAGCGACATTACGGACTTTCAAAAAAAATAATTTTGGAAATAGCAATTTTCGGATCCTGATCCTCTAGAAAGGAAAAAAAAGTGAGACAAATGTCTACAAAAGCCTCTAATCCACGATGCAAAATTAATTTTGGAAATCTTACTTATCGGATCCTGATCCTTCAAACTACCTGGTTTTGATTATTTTTGCAGGATCTTGGGACAAAATCCAGATTCGGTTTTGGGTCCCTTATCCTCCAAACCACCTGGTTTACAGCGTATTTGCATGATTTTGGGACAAAATCCAGATTCAGTTTTGTGACCCTTATCCTCCAAACCACCTGGTTTACAGCAAATTTGCATGATTTGGGGACAAAATCCAGATTCAGTTTTTGGATCCTGATCCTCCAAACATCTCCAAACCACCTTTTTCCCGAATGCGTAGCAAGGGTTCCCGTTTCACTCTGGGGGTCTGGGGGTTGAGGGTGTGTTCGCTCGACGTTGCGTTCACGGTCGCAACCGTCGCAACCGTCCGCAACCGTCCGCAACCGTTCGTACGAACTCCGTATGGCCGTGCCTATGGGAAGTTTTGCAGAGGTGGTCATTTTTGGAGGTTTCAGACGTGTCGTTGCTTCGTTTCGCGTGGCAGGCGTGGCACTTCGTGACATTCAGACGTGTTCTGCAACGTGTCGAAAGTCGTTTTGCGTGGCAGGCGCAATACTTTTGTGACGTTTTCAGAAGATGTGTTGCAGTTTTCGTGGCAGGCGCAGCACTTTGGACGTGTCCATCGTCATTTTTCGTGGCAGGCGCAGCACCTTAGACGTGTCGTGCTGCGTGTTTTTTGCAAATTGCATTGGCAGGGCTGCGTCAAGTGGCGACAAGGTGCAAATTCCGTGGCAGGCGTGGCATTTTGTGCGATGTGGTGAAAATTGACGGAAGCCTCGCACGAAACATCGATTTTTGAGGTTGCAAATTTTCAGGTTCTAAGGAAAACTCGTAGGAAAACGTCGATTTTGCAGCTACAAAGTGTGAAAATTGCAGGAAGTCTCGCACGAAATGCTCGTTTTGGTGTTCCCACCTGTCTCGTCTCGCGTCTCTGGTTTTCCTGTGGCCTCGCCGTGTCTATGGGGGAAGCTGCAAAACTTGTCCTTTTGTCATGTTGCCAACTGTGAAAATTGGAGGAAGTCTCGTACGAAATGCTGTTTCTTCTGCATCCACG